TCCTGTCCTGTCCTGTCCTGTCCTGTCCTGTCCTTTCCTGCCTTAGATCTGGACAATTAACATTAGAATTACTCAAATGTTCACCTTACTGAACAGCAAGACCCTTTCTCAAGAGCTTTGACTAATTTCAGCTATTAAGTTTCCTTGTACATATCTCATTACAATTTGAGCAAACCCAAACCCCAGCTGGTTTCTCTTTGCTTACCCCTTCTATAGAGCTGGATGTCTGCTTATCCCTGCTCCTAGTTGCTCAGTGCTGGCCTTCTGTGCTAGTCTCGTTAATCACACARTTAAACGTCAGATGTTACAAACTAATAACCTCAAACAGCATACAAAAGTTAAAGCTGTTACTCTGTCCTCTATTTCAAAACCAAATCAAGAAAATCTTGAATGCATTTTCAGTAAAGCAGAAAAAMAACTTGTGCCAGAAAGACCAAGATTTAATTTTAATACACCCACCATGGAAGCAAATCCTTTCTGGGACCAATGCAAGTTGCAGATGAAATAGATGAAATATATTCTTCCTGAATGTGCCCAAATGTATTGTCTCATGAGGCTCTGAAGCCATATTCCTGACATTCTAACTGTATGACAGAAGAAATGAAAAGTTGCTGACCTTGTTTATATATCRTGGAAAAATTCAGGCACCAGCCTGCCCTTYCAGTGCTCCTGGCTCTCTGGACGACATACTGACCTGAGACAGAGCTATTCTGGCACCAGAACATGGACTGCACAATGCAAAGTGTGTACTGTAAAAAACATGAAGTAAAGCACAACATTTACACAGTGAACAACTCCTCAAAACGTTTTTGTTCCCTTCTATGGGAAAACAGGCAGCCTATACAGCTAGCACCCAAATGCCACCTTGCAATGCTCGTGCTGTAGAAGATGGCACAAACAGCTTTATCTAGAGCCAGGACCTGCTTCACCTTTATACCTCTGATAAATAACAGGAAGCAGCACCACTTAAGGGCAGCACCTTTGCATGGTGTTAGACCCTGAGCTCTTATCACTGTCAATGCTTGTGGGGCAAAAAAAATGAGCTGCCTGACAACTCAAATTTACCTGGAAGCATATCACATCAGTGTCTGGGGTGTCAACAGCCAGGGACACAGCAGATTGCAGACCAGCAGTGCATGTACAAGGTGTCCAAGGGTACTTTGTACCTCCACAGGTTCCAAACACGTTTCTGGCTGGARTGGGAATCAACATTTAGATTCATCATATCACTCTCTCCCTCGTACCAGAAGTCACAGACCGCACTGTCACACAAGCAGGAAAGTATGGAGGGCAGAAAACACACAAATGCTGTGACGTTTCACGGAGGAAGATTGAGCTGCTCACTGGTCTGAGCAGCCAGGATTCCATGCTGATGGAGMGGTAACTATGAAAAGACAGTGTGGTGGCACCCTTCCTTGGTGGAATTCACCACTAAATGCAGGTCAAAGCAAGGCACTCTCGACTCACGAGGGGATAATTTCTTTGGGGAGCCATAGCTGATGCAGCTGCTGTTAATGTTGCTTACCTTTGATGGACAGATTGCCTCAGGGCCTGGGGGGGGTCCTCAATCTCCCATTGATGACTACTTTCAAACCACACCAGCATGGTCCAGAGCACAATCTTTTTAACTGGCTTGGATTAGTTTTAGAAGACCAAAGTACTTTCAGGTATAAATGATTCTATTCGTCGACATCTGACTGAGAACCTTTTTCACTGTGCGTGAAGAAAGAAAAAATGCATTAACTTGACAAACGCACACACAGTTAAGTACAAAGTCCATATTTTTTTTTCCTCATTAGCTGTCCCCAGAAGCATTTTGGCTCTACGCAYATTTTATGAATTTTATTTTTCTTTTCATTTTGCTTTCCCAGGAAGGATTTCCTTCCCAGTGCCTCCTAACTATGGACATATATAGGTTTCGGATTATAGATTTTCAATTGCTAAATTACATGCCATGGCAATGAAGAAGGGAGGCCACAATAAGTGCCCCAACCCTTAACCAAGGGTACAGGGAGGAGTACACAACATTCCAGGAAGCTGAGTCTGTAGGGACACTCATTCRTTGCCCTACCCTATTTATTCTGCTCCCTACAGATGCTCACCCATACACTGAATTTCAAAGGCCTTATGTGACCTCAGTATACTTAGGAGCCTTAACAGCAGTGGCAGCAGCAAAATTAGTATTATGTAGGKAGAGGCTTGTTTTGCTGAGCTACAACAAGTTTGTCGTTTGGTAGGTATCACTTTAAAATTCCTTAGCTAAGTGTTAAAAGTTGCTAAACTCTGCTGGCTGGTTGGATCAGACAAGTGTTATTACATTTGTAAGTCAGATGAAAGATGAAGTCACTGAGGGCAAGTAAGGCATGGGTGTAACACTGTAATAGGTTGCAGGGAGCATTTACACCTCTTTCCTGTGGAACATGTATGTGGGAACGCAGTACAGAATGTAAAGGCCCTCACCTAAATCTCCCTGAAAATTGCCATCTGAAGCAAGGAGAGTGCCCAAATGTAAGAGCTGGACTTCCTCCAGATGTGTAAAAATGACTGACCACAGCACTTAGCTACAGCAGGTAGAGCAGCCCACTAGCCACATTTGTGTGGCTCGCTCTCATGCTAATACCTCCTAACAAAATTGCTTGAGAACAACTAMTGTGCTACCTCTTCTCATTTCGAACATATCTAAACAAAACCCACAGCTTATTTTCATAGGAACAAGTATTGGCAGGTCCTAAACTGGAGATAGGAACATTTGATAGCTCCTAGGTGTAGTGCCAACCCTTGGCCCCCTTGGCTGTGGTTCCTGTTTCCTCGCTTATGCCAAGAGGTCTCAATAGATAACTGCAAAAGTTGGATAGATTTGGGTATGTGAAAGGAAGCRACTTGCAGGGAGGGCTCAGATTGCAAACTTGTGTGGGTTTGTGATGTAGTGTGGCCTGCTGGGGTGCCCATAAGGTGAGGAGAATTGAAATAATTCATATGAAGTAGACATTACAGTGGTGCCTTCTCCAGAAGCATCTCTGGAGATCCTGATATTACTTTCCTTCTTTTTTAATGAATAATGAATTCTGCCTCCTGCAAGTCTCACTGGTAATACCAAACTGCACACAACTATCTATATAGCATCTGCTCAAAGAAATTTTTCCACAACGTCCCATATCTAAAACAGGATTATTTCCCTCCCTCATTTGCTCAGCTGGAGGTAAAACTCCCACTTCTGCCTTTTAAGTAATTCTTCACCACATCTTTTCTCTGTCTGAGTACACCTGTTCATTCTTTCTCAAATATCTGCTCTGACTGCAGATCAGCTCTTTTTAACATTGACAAATACCCCTTACCTTTCCAAAATATTGTTTATGTATATAGTCTTTCACATAAACAAGAATATGTGCTCCAAGCACCAACTCTACATCACTAAAATTGGTTTAATCTTTGCTGCAAAACCATTTAAAAAATCATAGCTTCTCTCTCTATCATGAAATTTCTAAAGTTACTTCAGTTTATGTTACTAGGTTGTTGCAACTGATGGAGACCAGAAGTTAACACATATATACTTCATAGTCCTTTTTGGAAATGGGCAAAAGGGTAGCAACCTCAAGGAGAAAAGCCAGGCTGAAAACTGGGATAGTGACCATTTTTTCCATTAAAAAATATGAATAAARACTCTGTGAAGCCACAAATGAGAGCTGGAATATTTACATCTCTGCCAGCGAAGATGACTGGAGTAAATGTGTTCAAAACAGCAACAATAAGCAACAAGAAATTTTTCATTTCACTGACATGTTACTCATGGTCTGTCCTTGTTCTCTGTCTATATTCAATGCAGTCTCTAAGCAACTGCTAAATTCCATATCTTCCCAGCAATTGCTACCTTATTATATTATGTAGTCAAATAAATGGAAAGGTTCATTCATTGATTTAAATGCACAGAATAAAGGCTAAAAACAATTTTAATTTCATTTGGAAATTTCTGAAGGTATATCTGCAATACTCATATCCACCCTAATTCATTTAATCCCTGAATCCTTACTTCATATTACATACTAAACAGGACCTTGAAAGTCACAGTTTGGTTAGCTCTTCTCTCAGTTATTTTCCCATGAAAGCATTACAGAACTCAGGTGCAGTCTTGCTGCAACCTTTTTTTCTGGTATTTTATCCTTATGGGGTGGTGGTCACAATTCTTCCCTTCACTGCATTTAATCATAGTTTAACATTTCCTGAAACACAATTTTACAGCAAGCTAAAATCTCTCATATTATATACATTTTAGTATTTGCAAAACAGCCATTGTAAATGAAACCATGAGGTAGAAATAGAATTGTATTTCTGTAGAATTACCTATTCATATAATCTGAATTTCTGGTTGCTAATATGTACTTAAATATTATATTCACATTATATAGTATATCAGGTATTACCAAAGGGCTGCAGTGTAATCTTTGTGGTTCTTAAATAACTGAAAAGGCAATGGATAATACACTTTTTTTTTTTTTTTTAATCAGTTACAGATTAATTAAATATTATTCCAGAGCTCTGTTCCATCCAGCATATTACACCATCTTCCACCACATATCAGTATTGATTGATTCCTTCCTGGTAATTTAGGAATGACCTATGGCCTACCTCTCCCCTTGTTAAAACTCAGTTTATCACAAAGTGCTCTAGTTCTTGTCATAAAAGCATTTCCTTATTTCMGTGATTGCTGTAAAATGCACAAGTAACCATTAGATGGGTTTTTTTTAGAGTGGGAAAAGGATTCAAAATTCAGAGGCTTTAGCTAAACCTTTGTGTAGCCATATTCTGTGAGATACATAAAAACACCTAAACAGTAATATGATTCAAAATCCTACTACTTTTAGACAAAATATATAGCAGGAATACTCTTTGGGAACAAAGAGCATAATTACTAAACTCCTATGCTAGTACTTGCAAATCTTAAATTACCAGAGACAAAGTTAATTTCCATAAACATCACCAGAAGTTTAGGAGATTGCTTTCTTTTACAAAGTGGCAGTTTTGTAACATATAGTAACAAATGACCATTTACTTCAAAATAAAATGGAACATAGAAAGCAAATAGCTTGATTCRCTTAATAATTGGTAGAAAAATTCATATAGAAAACAAACAAAAAGAAAACAACCCACATAGGGCAGCAGGGTAACTTTGCCTCCCTTGTACCGAAATTCCAAGAAGACAAAACAAACCAACTGTATGTTCATAAATCTCCAGATATTAACAAAATTGCTTATGTTTCTATAAAAAGTGTTTTAGAAGGTTGTACGTGACACTATTTCACTAGACTTTAGCGTTTTAGGAGGTAAAACACATGGTCAAAGGAACCGGTTCTTAATCCATATTCAGAGCTGAAAAAGGAGTTTGTGTTACTTCCTCCTCTTCAAAATCAATTTAAACTGTCAAAATAGCTTCAAAAAGTCCGATTTCAACTTTAACCCCAAGAAAACCCTCTAAATAATCAGACTGAGTTGTTGCTGTAATATTTATGTCAAAAGGAAATTTTTAATTTGCAAGGAAAAACAAAAGTTTCTCCCTTCAGAGCTCTCTCCAGCAGCAGCACACGGGATTTATCGCCTCTCCTTAAACTCAAATCGCGTGTTTGCTGCAGGAAACTCTCCCGAACGCAAGTACCTGCTCTTCTCCCCCCTTACCGAGGAAATTGGGCGATTTGGTTGCAGAAATTCCGAGGAAAATACACTTTTGTTGGTCCAAAGAAACACAAATCGAGCACACCGAAGGGCTCCCCGGCCGTGCAGCGGGGCGGGCTCTGCAAAGCACCAATCACCGCGCGTCTCCGCTCTAAAAATACGAGCATCTGACCCGGGCCAGCCCAATTGTGTTCGCCTGCTCCGCAGAGGACTCTGCTGTGATGTCCGAGACCGCTCCCGCCGCCGCCCCCGATGCGCCCGCGCCCGGCGCCAAGGCCGCCAAGAAGCCGAAGAAGGCGGCGAGCGCCTCCAAAGCCCGCARGCCCGCGGGGCCCAGCGTCACCGAGCTGATCACCAAGGCCGTGTCCGCCTCCAAGGAGCGCAAGGGGCTCTCCCTCGCCGCGCTCAAGAAGRCGCTGGCYGCYGGCGGCTACGATGTGGAGAAGAACAACAGCCGCATCAAGCTGGGGCTCAAGAGCCTCGTCAGCAAGGGCACCCTGGTGCAGACCAAGGGCACCGGCGCCTCSGGATCTTTTCGTCTTAACAAGAAGCCAGGAGAAGTGAAAGAAAAAGCTCCCAAGAAAAGGGCGGCTGCAGCTAAGCCCAAGAAGCCGGCAGCCAAGAAGCCCGCCAGCGCCGCTAAGAAGCCCAAGAAAGCAGCGGCGGTGAAGAAAAGCCCCAAGAAGGCCAAGAAACCGGCAGCTGCAGCGGCCAAGAAAGCGGCCAAGAGCCCCAAGAAAGCCGCAAAGGCAGGCCGGCCCAAGAAGGCAGCGAAGAGCCCGGCTAAGGCGAAGGCGGTGAAGCCCAAAGCAGCCAAGCCCAAGGCAGCCAAGCCGAAAGCGGCCAAGGCAAAGAAGGCGGCGCCCAAAAAGAAGTAAATCGTATCTGAAGTGTTCTGCTCTATATACTTTGTTATCCAACGGCTCTTTTAAGAGCCACCCACACTTTCCCTAAAGGAGCTGATGCACCGAGGTCGTCTGTAACCTGCAGCAAGGATCCAGTAATTCGTAAGTCGTCAAGAGGTCAATTGTATCTTTCAYTTTTTCCTTAGGATTACCGAAATAAATGCTAACGAGCGCGGTATAGCACAGCGGTTTTAGGGAAATCTAGACTTTTTTCCTCCTAGTRATTGCTTTGACTACCAGGAAACGTTTTATAATGATTTGATAAAAATCGGATGTATGGTTTTATAAAGGTATATTTTGTAACAAAATAATGCAATTGCCAGGCACGCTACTACTGAGCCATGTCTAATCTATTGTGTTATTTCTCTTAAGGTATCTCCGTAAATACCTTTGTCTGTTTGGGGGAGGAGGGGGGTTCTTTTTACTGACAAAAATAGCCCTGCTCTCCCAATCCTTTTGTTCCGATAAGAAAGAGCTTTAAGTATTGAAAAAGCCCGCCCTGCCCAAGGATTGGCCAGCGGAGATCACGTCCTCCTGCCCTTCCCCCTCCCTTCCCCGAAGACGATTACGCCTCTTATCTGTCGAACTGTGTCAGCCACTCGGAGAAGAAAGAGGCGGAAAAGCGGGGGGAGGGACGGRAACTCTCAACGAACAGAGTTCCTGTGTTCACCGATATAAGAAACAAAAGCAAAATAACCCATWCTATGAAGAACTTGCATGGGAAKCACGTTTTGGCAAGACCTTGTTAACGAAAATATGAAATGCAWTGCTATTATTTTTAAGCCAAAAATGCTGTTAATAAACATAGAAAGAAAAAATAAAAGACAAAACGCGGGTTGAGTAGTTAATATAAAATACCCTATTTTCTSGATAATTCAGCTCTCTTAGGATTTTGTGGGCGGCTCTGAAAAGAGCCTTTGGGTTTCTCGAGAAAAGAAAATGCGTTACTTTTCGTTCACTTGGCTTTAGCCTTGTGGCTGTCGGTTTTCTTGGGCAGCAGCACGGCCTGGATGTTGGGCAGCACGCCGCCCTGCGCGATCGTCACCTTGCCCAGCAGCTTGTTGAGCTCCTCGTCGTTGCGGATGGCCAGCTGCAGGTGGCGGGGGATGATGCGCGTCTTCTTGTTGTCGCGGGCCGCGTTGCCCGCCAGCTCCAGGATCTCGGCCGTCAGGTACTCCAGCACGGCCGCCATGTAGACAGGAGCTCCAGCGCCCACACGCTCCGCGTAGTTTCCTTTCCGGAGGAGGCGATGGACGCGGCCCACGGGGAACTGCAGCCCGGCCCGCGACGAGCGCGACTTGGCCTTGGCGCGCGCCTTCCCGCCCTGCTTCCCGCGCCCGGACATCTCTCTCTGCTCACACGCCGCACACGCGCCCGCTGCACAGCACAACAGCCACTCCGCCCTCCACCGCCACCCTCCCTTTAGTAGCTCGTCCCTTCGCTGATAGGCTGAGAAGTAGGTCTCGTTGGGCAGCCAATAAGAAGGCGAATCAAATTCTGACCAATCAATCTCGACTATTCGGCGTGATGACGTTTCTTTCGCGTTCTGACCAATGAGAATGCGCACAACTGATGCTACTCATTTGCATATGGCTGTTATAAATACGTTGCACGCAGCGGTGCTCGTCACTTCGTCCTGCAGTGGGTACTGAGGCAGTTCTTAGGTCTTCGCAGCATAAGCAGTTGTCGCGATGCCTGAACCGGCCAAGTCCGCTCCTGCGCCCAAGAAGGGCTCCAAGAAGGCGGTCACCAAGACGCAGAAAAAGGGTGACAAGAAGCGCAAGAAGAGCCGCAAGGAGAGCTACTCCATCTACGTGTACAAGGTGCTGAAGCAGGTGCACCCTGACACGGGCATCTCGTCCAAGGCCATGGGCATCATGAACTCCTTCGTCAACGACATCTTCGAGCGCATCGCCGGCGAGGCGTCGCGCCTGGCGCACTACAACAAGCGCTCCACCATCACGTCGCGGGAGATCCAGACGGCCGTGCGCCTGCTGCTGCCCGGCGAGCTRGCCAAGCACGCCGTGTCCGAGGGCACCAAGGCTGTCACCAAGTACACCAGCTCMAAGTAAAAAGTTGTTTCAAATACTGTTAAACCCAAAGGCTCTTTTAAGAGCCACCCACCTTTTCAATAAAAGAGCTGTGCAATCAAGTATGGTTAAAATCCTTTTTCAGTCTTCTGTGAAGTCTTATTTTTAAGAGGGCTTTTTTGTTTTTAAAAGATCTTGTGGGTTTTGTATACCGAGAAGCTTACTCAGATAGAATTGTGTTCTCCAGTTCACTGTGCTCATGAACATTTACTAGCTATGTAATAAATCAACTTGGGATTTTAATTTGTTGAGTACTTGCTGTGGGTTTGTTTTTTTCAGTGATACTTAATGGTTCTGTTCATTTTAATATTGTGTTATATGAGCAAAACTTTACTGTGGTAAGTTTGCATGTTATATGTGATGTAAAYYAAATAGGAATCTAATTTTTCTACTCAGGAAAGAATTGAAATTATGACTAGTGGATACCTATTCATGTACTACTTAGCCGTAGTATAATTACGGCTTGATTGTGCTCAGTCTTTGGGGGCTCTGTTTTTGCAGCAGAAGTGAGAGGCGAGTTCAGTGCACTGCCCTATAAAAGGATATATATCTTACATAAAGTGACATATATCTTC